TGCAATAAGGAACATGAAGAGTCATTTCTGTGTGCCTTCCTCTCCATGTAAACTACACTCAGCCCAGCACTTTAACAGCTGCTGCTTCAGGAAGAGCCCTGCATTCAAATGGCACTTCTTTTCCTGCTGGAGAGGGCATATGCCTGCTAGTCTCCACCCCAGCAAGGAAAAACCATTTTGTGTGTGTATATGAGCAATTGTGTACATGTCCAAGCCATGCTCACTATCACCTCAGGCCACACCCACTGGGCATGCAACCACAATCCTACTGCTCGAGGGCCAAAAAAACACCCACCTGAGGCTTTCCAGTCTGGTTTGCCACAAACACAAGGCTCTCTCACTAACTTGCACAGAAACAGCCACCAAAGGAAGAGGGGAGATGAAGGCCACAAACCCTATCAAGTTGCAGTACAGTGTGAACAGGATAGTGAAGTTTTTATGTATTTTGTTTAAACTTAAAACAAACAAATCATTAAAAGGATGGTGGACTAGCAGCAGGTGGCTCTTATGCTCCTGATCCAGCAGGTTGTTCTTATGCTCAAGGTGACTGGATTGCTGGCGAATCAGGCCAGTTTCACACCAGGGAAGTGCTGCTGAGATGAATACCTCGGGCCAGTCCGTTCCACACTTAGCCCACCTCAATGGTGTGTTAACTGCAGGAACACAGTCAGTCACCGCGCTGAGGTAAACCAGGCACGGCGTTTGGCAGAGCCGCCACCACTTGGCCTCTTCCTCCCGTCACCATTGCCAGGAGTCTCGGCTTCGCAGCGGGTTCTTAAATGGCCAGGCGGGCTGGATTTATGACCCTGGCAGACTGGATCCAACCCACAGACTGTAGTTTGAGGATCCTTGGTGTAAACAATATTGAAATAGGTAGACTAATGGTCTGACATGGTATAATGGAGCTTCTTATGTCCTTAATGGACAGCAATTAGGGAACGCTTGACTCCATTGAGGCTGGGAAGATCCAGCATCTCAGTCCCATTCATTTGCCTCAGAAGTCTTGTCTGGAAATTGCTAAAAGTATATGTGGCATTAACATGTTTTTGTGTTGGCATGAATCACTTCACATTGAATTGCATTTGCTAGCTCATTGTTCATTCACCTAGTTGGGAGGGGTCCTTTTGGAGCTCTTCACAATCTCGTTTTGTTTTACTACCCTGAGCAATAGAGCGTCATCAGCATTTTAGCCATCTCACTGCTCACTTCTAGATCTTTTATGAACAAGTTTAAAAGCACAGGTCCCAATGCCAATCCTTGGGAGATGCCATTTTCCATTGGAAAACTGTCCATCTATTCCTACTCTCTAATTCCTGCTATTTAACCATATCCTGATGCACAAGAGGACCTTTTGTGTTAAAGCCTAATTAGTTTTAGAGTTGTAGAGTTGGGATTATAGGGGGAAATTATTTCTTAGTTTCTAGGCTTATGCTGAATCTTTATATGAGGGAAGTAAAAAGACGAAGCAGCTTGTAACTAACTTTCCTTACCGGGGGGAAATCTGACATCCAATGGTCCAATCAAAGTGATATTTTCATGATAAAAAGGGAAGCTTATGAATCATGGCACAGCCACTTGAGAAGTACAGAATTTCCCCTGGAAAATTTAATGATCTTCAACAAGCACAAAATCCAATCCACTGTTTCTTTATACGAGAACAGACTAGAGATCATGGTAATTTGCAGTCTTTTGGAATGTGCCACCTACTTTGAACTTGTCTTTTAGATCTACAGTCTTTGGGGTTGGATCTCATTTTAATTCAAAAGCACCTACCGTAATAACACTTTCCAAAAGTATGTGCAAACTAAAACACACACACTTTTTTGAATTTTGCACTGCAGTTCTCCATGCAAGACATATGTTTGAAAATGTACATAAAAGTGTACATAAAAAATGCATATATTAGTTACAATCAACATATTAATGTATGTATTAGGAAAAATGCACACTAAAGTGCTGATTAATTTTCATGAAGGTTTTTAAAAATAATATTGCAAATGTTGCAGAAATGTTATGAAAAAATATAAACCAATAGAAACTGACCATCCCTAAGGGTGCTAATAGGTTCTTCCTTAGGATGGAGGAGCAGAAATGCATGGTTGATTTGATTATCAGGATTCAAATCAATATATGTTCTTAAGAATATAAGAAGAGCACTGTTGGATCTGACCATCTAGTCTAGCGCCCTACTTCATGACTCTCAGAAGTATAGGATGTGAAGGTAATAACCTTCTTCCATTGTTGCAGAAAGCAACCAGTATTCAGTAACATCTTGCTTCTGAACTTGGACATTAGATATGAACATCATTAGTACTCATTTGGTAGTCTTTACCTCAGTGCTGGTGGCAATCACTACACCTTGTGACAGAGCACTTTATAAGTTAATTATGCATTGTATATGCATATGTGTGGATGATATAAATCTTGAAAGACGTAGATAACTTTTATTTGCATTTACTGATGTCAGAGTAGTAATGAAATATTAGGTAAAGGTAAAGGTACCCCTGACCGTTAGGTCCAGTCATGGATGACTCTGGGGTTGCGGCGCTCATCTCGCTCTATAGGCCGAGGAGCCGGCGTTTGTCCGCAGACAGCTTCCGGGTCATGTGGCCAGCATGACTAAGCCGCTTCTGGTGAACCAGAGCAGTGCATGGAAACACCATTTACCTTCTACTTGCACTTTGACATGCTTTCGAACTGCTAGGTTGGCAGGAGCAGGGATCAAGCAACGGAAGCTCACCCCGTTGCAGGGATTCGAATCGCCAACCTTCTGATCGGCAAGCCCTAGGCTAGGCATATGGAGATGAACATTGCCCTGGAATTTGTCATTCCAATGAACAATAGCCAATTTTTGTTTCTTATTGAACCACAGTGCTCTGTTAGATGGGGGCAGCCAACATGATGCCCTCCACATGCTGCTGAACTCCCAACTGCCTTCAGCTCCAGCTAACATAGCCAATTAGGAATGATGTGAGTTGAAGTCCAACAACATCTGAGGACACTATATTGGCTACCATGTCTGAGATAGTAGGTTAGCTTTGGCAATTAGCAATTAGCAATTGTCCAGATTTTTTTTTTTTAGGGTACCACCAATATACATTCAATTTGCACAATGTACTTTTTACTGCTTTATTAGTTTAAAATCATTGCTTTCAATTTCAGACAAAATAATAAAACTGACCATGTATTAGAAGGAATAATTTCCCAGTTATATTTCTCTAATAATAACTTTAATTCAAACCTAATTAAATCAGGAATGGGGAACCTGTGACCCTCCAAGTGTTGTTCAGTTCCTACTCCTCTCTGCTCCATTCAGCAAGGTCTATGGTCAAGATGATGGGACTTTGAACCAACAACATCTGGAAGCCCACAGTATTCTTATCCCTGTTGTTGATCATACTGAGATGGATGGACCAGTGGCTGGACTTCGCAAAAAGCAACTTCCTGTGTTGCTATACTTGGTTGAGACACCTTTCGTATCATGTCTATCTTAAGTTGTGAGCCCGCAGACAGGAATTACTGTTGTTTTAATAGTTGCAGAGTGCTTAGCAAATGTTAGGTGCTTCACACTTACACATGCACACTTTCAAAAGTCAATAGCAATGCTGCTAAGTATGTTTTTTTTAAAAAATAAAATAAAATAAACCTTAACGGTCTCTAGGGCCAGGCAATGGGATGTTTTCTTAGCCCATTTGTGCAGAAAATATTTTCCCACAGCTTTTCTCATTTCTTAACATACATACTTCACATTTTCTGAACTGTGGAAATGTGAACTGTGACTTATATGGCCTTTGGATATAGCCCCCATTTACCACCAATTACATACAGAGAACATTTCAGAATGTTTGAAGGCTTCCAATGAGGCTGAACAAGAATATACAAAGTTGCAATTAACAGTACTTAAAGATTCACTTCACTTAATTTCGAGAAAATGGGCATGGTTTCCTTAAGTGGCTAATTGAACTGACATTTGTAAACCATTATGGACTCTAAATTATTTTATGTGACAATCACCACTTTTCCCAGGCACAGTTTTTGAACTGAATGCAACTGAGCAGGACAACAGGAACAAAAAAAGAAAAAGAGTGCACTTCTTAAATTGATAATTAATTCAACTCATAAACTGCACTTAACATTTTGTTTAAGTCCAACATTGGGACATGCCTCTCAAACTCCTGAGCTTTGAATGGAGGAACAGATGACAGATCAGGAACAAAGCACTTGAGCAGTATCTTCAAAGGGTTCATCTTTTTCTAGCCTTTGATGAGGAAAATGGAGAGTTTAATGCTACCACCTAAAAAACAAAACAAATAATATTAATCAGCCCTAAGCCTGACTGAATTACGAGGTAATGCAGATTCACAACTGTATCTGATGTCTCCCCCTCATGTTTTTTCTCTATCTCTCCATTGCATCCACTTAGAACATATGAAAAGTGTTTTCAATGAAATTCATAGGGCTGGGGTCCTGAATGTGGCAATTGAGGTGGTGAACGATGGATTGTTTGATTTTGATAGCTCATTTCATAAATTTGTCTAGTTTGGGGTGGGATCCAAGGAGGTGGTGATACTACTTTATTTCAATTTTGATTTATTTTTGCGTCATTATCCATTGATTACAAATTTCAGTTCACTGTAGGATTAAGATATATGTATGTATGTGTATTAGCAGTAGGTGATATATCAATATATCACCCAGGACTGTTATGGGGGTGGAGAGAGACCATGACAACAGCTTCTCTCAGTTGTATATCACTGGTGAAACCATCACCGATCTTGAGTCCCTCTGCCTCCAGTGCCCAAGGCGCTGAGGAAGAAACAAACTAGCCAGGAGCTGGAGGCAGAGGGCCTCAAGCGGTGGTGGTTTTATGGAGCCCCTGACCCGCCACCAGCTTGCAGGAGCCAGCGGCGGGATGGGGGCTCTGTTAAAGTGGTCCTCCTCTCAGCTGAGAGAGGCCCTGGCCCTGCTTGCAGGACAGCAGGAGCGGGATTGGGGCTTGCTTGCTTGGAAGACAGCCAGGCAGTGTAGGGGCTCTTTGATGCTGCTGGTATCTGGTCCAGTACTCGCCAGCAGCTTCCAGCAGCCCTGCTCCACAAGGTGCAGATAGGGTAGGTTTGCACCCCGTGCCTTGCAAACTTTGCCTGTGTGAGTGGGCTGCATCTTTCCACTGGGGATGAACAACCCCTGGAGAAAAGAAACAGTGCACCCACACAAGCAAAGGCTAAGGCAGTTGAACACAGAGAGCCTGACAGGCTCTGTGCACTTGGCTACTGCTGTCTGGTCTGTCTTCGGGGAGTGGCGTGCGAGTGGCAGGGGACTTGGGGCTAGCTTGGCTGAGGGCAGGAGCTCTCCTGCCCCCAGAAGAGCCTGGCCAAGGAGCCCTGACTCACCTTCCAATGGCATGTGAGCAGCAGGGGACTTGGGGCTCAGTCAGCTGGGGGCAGGAACCTTTCAGCCCCCCAGCTGAGCAGCAGGCTGGGGCCAGCTGTATTGGCCACAGCCTGCAAGGTGCTGTGGTGAACGTGCCTCAACTCCCATGGTGACAGATGCAGCAGTTTCACCCAGCACCTCACTGACTGGGGCCAATGCAGCTTTTTACAACATCATGGTTTATTGCCAAACTGCGATGTTTGGTTGGTGATACACCGTGATGTTGAAAGCCCAACATCGTCCAGCCCTAATGTCTATCTTTCTATGTACATATATGTACAGTATATATGGGGGAAATTGCACCAGAATACCAATAATTTTTCATAAAGACTTTTTTTAAAAAATATATATATGCAAATTTAATATACAAAAAATGGGAAACAGAGAGAAACTAAAATTGATAGATATACTCATCCGTATTGCTGTTATCCCATGTTATCCTCATAGTAACCTTATGAGAGGACTAGGTTGAGAAAGACTGACTGACTATCATTACAAGTCAACTTCATCATAGGTGAGGATGCATTTGAAACTCAGCCTCTTCCACCTAAGACTAAATTCTAACCACACAGCACTGGACTCTAGCTCTGCTGCTCTGCAAAGGAAAAGGGGGGAAAAGATCTTCCAGTAACAAACCCTTGTATTCTTTGGGGTTCTTTTTCCAGAGGTAATGCATCACAACACTCAAAATATATTAAAGGTGGCTTAGAAAAGCGGCTCTTTCAGTATCTGAGTAAATGTCTATGAATAGAGAGTATTTCTTGAGATGAAAGTGGATGAACAAAATACACTCCAAGGAAGGGGATATATAGAAAAGGGATTAGCAGCAACCTTTCCATTATGAAGCTTCATGTTTCAGGGAAATTGTGTGCAGGTGTGTGTGTGTGTGTGTGTGTGTGTGCAGGGAAGAGATCATTCTGAGGAGATATGTATGAAAAAATGAAATGGGAAGGGAATGGCATCTATCAAAGGTCAAACTGTAAAGTATCAATGAATGAAGACTCAAATGGCAGAGAGAGAGAGAGATAAAATAGCCCATAGTAGAATGCTTATTACAGCTGCAGATTTCTGAGTGTACAGGATTAAAAATGCTAATAACAACTAGCATTTATGTAACACTTTGTCATATACATACACTCTACTCATCTGTAAGCCCCACTGAAGAGTTCAATGGGACTTACAACTAGGTAAGTGAACACTGGAATGCAACTGAACAAAACTACGCTATTTAAGTCTACTCAAAAGTATGTTCCGCTGAATTGCATAGAATGCAAAACTTTGAAATGTTTAAAGTGCTTTCAATGGAATGAAATACTTACAACAGCCCTGTAAACAGAGTACAGGAATCTCTGGCCAAGTTGAATGTGGCCATCTGAGTCCCTCTGTCGGGCCCTGGAGACTCCCTGCAGGCCAGGCTCCATCCATCAGCATGTCCATCACTGGCCCTGCTTTGCCCTCTTGGGTGCTTTTGCCTGTCTAGAATGGCTGCTTACCCAGTCGCAGAGTAGAATGCTTATTACAGCTGCAGATTTTTGAGTGTACTGGTGCTGCCCGGCACAGAGAACTCCCACCCCCACCCCCAAAGGAGCAATGCCTGTGACCAGCAGCCAGCAGATTAGGGAATTCCCAGGCCAAGTGCTAGGGTTTGGTGGGCTTTCCCACCAGCTGCTTGGTTTAAATTCCAGCCAATCTGGCTAGGCTGAGTGGGTGGGGTTTGGGTGCCAATAAAGGTCAGTTGTGCCTGACCCCAGGGATAGCAGTCAGCCAAAGAACAACCCTTCCTCCCACCCTAGCTAGTAATATCTTGAGTTTCTGTATGCTAACCTTTCCCTTCCTAGGGCACTGCTTTGCTGTGACTCTTGAATGGTTGACATATTTGGAAGCAGGAAGGAATGTGCCTGCAAACAGAGTGTCCCTGTTTGCAGGTTTTGCTTTTCCCATAGGAATATAATAATGCCTCCTGCTTGTCTGGATGGAGGATGAGATGTGTGGGTATAAAAACCTTTGACCTTAGCATGGCAGGAATACATAGGTAAGAGTCACATATGTCGACCTACCTACTTTTGTCTGTGATCCCACCTACTACTGGCATATGGCCTCTGGGATGTTGCTTATGAAAGAATGTGGCCTTTATGTACCCGGATCCTGAGTCTGATTCTCTAGTCAAAATATCTGGTGACAACTGTATATTTGTACAGGTCTCCATAGGGTGCCTACTAATATATTGTGCTGCTTCAAATACCAGGCTGCCCTCCTGCTTTGCTGCTCTGTCATAATGCCCTATGTCAGAGGTTGGCAACCTAAGGCCCATGGTCCAGTTCTGGCCCGTGAGCTTCCTGGAACCAGCCCACGGCCATTCCATGGATCAGCATGGGGATTCTGTGCTTTTTTTTTTTTTTTGCGGTGCCATTTTTTTCCTCATCACGGGGACTGACTTCCGGGTCAGAAGAACGCTGGAAATAGCATGTGTGCACGCACGCTCCTGATCCAGAAATAGCTTGAGTGCAGGTGCGCACACTCCGGCCCACTAAGAGGTCTGCCAAGGAGTGGACCGGACTCAAAAAACGTTGCTGATCCCTGCCCTATCTTTACTTAAACAGTACTTACCACTCACTATGCAATATGGCCCAAGTTCCTTATATACACCCCGATACGCATGCAAAATAATCCAATGATTAGATGTTTATCACTATTCTGTGTGTTTGCACAGTAACCAGGTCAACACAGGAGATTATTACTTCATAACAATGTGTCTCATTATTAAAGGATTTAAACAGCAGATGATCTCTCCTTATGAAATGCTGATTACTAGAAAGTTGCTCATCTTCCAATTGCTTAAATATCACACTATATTGTAAACTCATCAAAATAAAAACTTTAAATTATTTTTTCCCAGCACACTTTGGCATGTATTCAAGATGAAATACTAGCTAACTTCAATGCTTTGCTTCCCATCCATTTGGCAAGAAAATTAAAATATGTCTACACCTACATGAATATCAGTCAAATGGAAACTCAAAGACATGTCAATCAGAAGAACCGGATTTAAGGGAGCATGACCAGTTTGGTTGCACAAGGTGCAGAGCCTTGTGAGCGCTACAGGGGATGCCACAACTATTATTTAGAATGGAGCATGAGAGGTGGGGAGAGTACTAGATTTTGGCATTGCACAGGGGGCCACCTAAATTTGAGACCCCAAGGTCTGTCACTGAAATCAGACATCAGTATATTCAAGCAAATAAGGTGCAATGAGTAGGACAAGAAATAAGTGTGCCTTTTTAACAGAACTGCAACTTGTTTGTCATGAATTGCTGGGGAAACAATATTTGCCAAATATGTCAATTTATAGAAGGTATTGGAAATATGTCATTATACAATTTTATTTTACACTTTCAGATATAAAAAGTAGTACTCACCGACAGGGAAATAGTTGTATTAATAACAACCAAATAACAAAGAATGCAAACTCTCCTTGTTATTTCTCTTTCATTAACTTTGTATTGAATTTTCCAAAGTACAATCATCTTTTGTAATAAAAGATGAGAAGGCATTGAATGGACTTTCTTAGCAAGATGCTCAATGTTGATTACGAAAAGATTGGGCCACTATACGGGCACACTGGTCTGGACGGGGTGTCAATACTGAGGATCCGGCAGAAATCTCACATTTTGTAGTACTGCACAGGAAATATATCAGACAACTTATGACATTGTACCAATGCAAAGATGTGGGATCAACTCTTTTGCCCCAGCAAGAGATACAAAGTTGAATAACTAATTATCACAACATTTAGTCTATTTGTTTCTCTTAGAATAGAGACAAGTGTTTCCTGTCCCACCACACTTTTCGTTCCCTTGAAATACAAATTTTGCTTAAAATACCATTTTTTGCACTTTTTGTGGGAGGGCAAGCCACAAACTGCTTCAGTGTATTGTGTAACTGCAAAATCTGGATAATTACGTTACAAACCACACATTAATCCAGAGGTGAAAAACAGGCCATTCACGTCAAAATTCACAGAGACTGAATTCCACAAGTGTCCCTAATCTTTGCCTCAAATTTTGCTTCCTGTGAGATCAATTGACAGCATAGGGGTTAGTGGAATTTACATTTGATTAGGTCTTCACAAAACTCTTTGGATCTTCCTTGAAACTTCTCAAATGTTAATTAACCAAGGTAAACATCCTAAGTGTGTACCAGTCTGTATTTCTAGTCAATCAACAAGTGTTGATGGGGGGGGGAGTAAACAATTTATTTGGTGGGTGACACCTGGGGGGGTGAACCATTAGTACATCAAAGCATCAAAAGAACCAATCATTACAATGCAACTGACTAAAGGAGGTTTAGGTTTTAGGAACAGCAGAAGGAAGAGAGATGCCTTGAAGTCCTGTCCTACACTGTTGTGGGGAACAAGCCCTACTAGAGGTGACCATGCTGTAAGATCTGGATGGCCTCCATGCAGACTGAAGGTATAAATATTTGAATAAATCATATTTCTTAAAGCCATGAGAGTTTCCACTGCCTCTTCAGTTCTCCAAAGGAGCACAAACCCTGGGTGAGGACCAGGAACCCCCTGGAATCCTGCTACCACTCAGCAGAGAGTGAAGGTGGTGCCCATCTTTTTTGTGCTTGTGTGTGTATGAGAAAAATCTGATACATGTCAACTATGAAACTTAATGGGTCTCTCTGTCTCATTGGCCTTCCACTTGGGGAGACTATACCCACAAACACATTTATTTCATGGCGTTTTCCAA